TGAACTTCTAACTTTTTAATACATCTTACTACACACCTTTACAAACACATTAGTGAAGAAATTGATTGGTAAGGATTTAGTTTGCAGATTTTCATATATTTCCCTTACTAATTGTACAAAATATTTACACTATGAGAGTTTTAATAATCATCAGTAATAAGGTTTTAATGACTAAGTGAGTAAAGCCAAATATTAAAATAGCTAGAACAGTGTCTTACACAAACAACGACATCACTTGACTGTAATGCAGCCTTTGAATCCAGGAAAAAAACAGCACTTGCCAATATGTAGTCTCATATCACACTATAATATCAATACATTGCCCAGCCCTCATGTGACTGAAGTGTGTGTAACCAAACTGAACGTGCCTTATGTTCCTCAGATCACCTTCCAGGTAAAGCGGGTGAGGAAGGCTAAGGTGGATGGGACAGATGGAGTCTCCAGCTCTGATGAAGGCCAGCACGGGGAGTCCCTGCCTGGAGGACACTCTGTCTTGGAGATAAGCGGGCCAACTATCCCATCGCCTGGCCCTTCAGGTACCATTTATTTTTACTCCAGCATAAACACAGAGAAAGCACCAGGGGGCTGGACTTCACCCAGCTAAGAGAGATGTCTTTCGTGTTTTCTGTGTTTTTGTGCAGGCCGCTGGAGGGACTACACAAGTCTTGGCTGGCCGGGCCCCGAGGAGTGCCAGCGGACACGCAGGGTGGACCTCACCACTGTAGCTAGCACCTGGCTAGCTGTTTCTGCCAAGAACATCGAGTAAGACTATTAATGTCCTCCTGATCCGGCTCACATTCTCATCTCATGTTATACAACTGTGAATTTAGTTAGTACTGTAATATTGACCATGTCAGTTTTTGGAGTAACGGCTTTAATGTTTCTGTCAGTTTTTTGCGCAAAGCTATTAAAGGTCCCATGTCAAGCTTTTCCGGTTATTACCCGTCCTCTTGTGTGTTGTGAAGGTTTTTCTGCATGTAAACGGTCTGCAGAGTCACAAACCCTCAAAGTACACCCTGTAGCGAGTACAACTCTATCACAGAAAAGACCTGTCTATGCTGCCCCAGAACGCCTCGTTGGAGATTTCTCTTTTTCCATTTTTTTCTTCCTGGGTACAGTGACGTACCCATACCCAAATGGACCAATCCGTGGAGCTCCTCACACACACACACGCTCTCTCAGCGGCGAAACTGTGACACGCTGGGGGGTGGGGTGCTAGTGGAGCCTCGCAGCGGCGAAACTGTGGCGCGCTTACACTGTAGGTGCGCCGCGTTTGGGGGTGCGGGTGCTAGTGGAGCCTCGCAGATGGGCAGCACCGTCCCGTGTCCATTCGCAATGTCTCACTGTCTCGCAGCCCCCACGCAGCAAGCAGGAAATGAACCCAGCTCACACTGTCCGCTCCTCGCAGCAGCGTCCCGCCAACACTCCACCCAGACCCCACGCAGCATTCTCATCTGTTTGTCCTTACTGGTTTCATTTTCTGGTTGCTAACGCCATTGTAACACATAATCACTGATATTCCGCTGTAACGGTGGTGGACTCATCAGAGCAGAGTGGGCGAGCTGACCAATCAGAGCGCAGGGGGCTCTCAGGGAGGGGGGGGGTGGGGTGGGGTGCAGGAGCTCCAACAAGCCGTTTAGGAAAGAGAGTGAATACACATACTGTGCAGAGATGCTGTATGAGAAACCAATGTGAGTTTGGAAAATTGCACAATATAAATCTATTCTAGTAGACCTCAACAATGGAATTATGATCAGTAGAAATGGCCATGACATGGGAACTTTTAAAATACAGGTTAGTACTGTCCTAAGTGTCCTTTACGATAGGAGTATAGCAACATAATGGTATAGAGACCATAATCATGATATTAAAAAAAATGTAATAAGTATATCATCTTAATTATACACATGATAATATTGTGCTAATAATCCAGCACCTCTTTGAGCAGTAATAGTACTAAGGTGTATACTCAATTATTTTTAAAGATATGTATATTTGTTTAAATATTATTTTTTGGGCATTATTAGTAAAAGATAATGACTCGGCCTTCTTTCTTTTAGACACAATAATCATGTAGAAAGTTGTGATTAAATTAAAGCTATTTTTATAGCAAAGTAACAAAGTGTTTAGAAAAGATGAGAGGGACAGGTAATCAAAGGCGGGGGGGGGATGAAACATTGCTGCCTCGTGATATTCTTGGTTGACAGGAAAGATATGAAGAGCCAAAATGCAGCTTTAAGTCTAATGTCTGATTGTCCCTGTCTCTTCAGCATCACAGAGCATATAGACTTTGCCACTCCGCTCCAGGAGCCAGCTGCTGAACCTTTATGCAACGCCAACCTCGCTGCCAGCATGCACACCCTGGACCACCTGGCGGGGGTGGCCAACCGCGCCGCCATCCACTACACCGGAGAGAGCCAGCTGCGGGAGGTAGGCTGAGGATTACAGGAATTAACATGCATACTCTTACCTCTTTTTTACCTCGACAGCATGGAGTCCCATCAACAGTGTAGTTCAATATTTGATATTCTCATTTTCAATGCTACAGGTAGACCACTCCACATGTTTCTTAAATCTCAATCTCTACATGTATGGCAGCCATTCCATTCCAGTGTCTGTTGAATTCAAACACAGAGAAATGTTGTCAGTAGTTCATAGAATAAAATACATAAATGCATTTTACTCAAACACATACTGGTAAATAGTAAAGCCAGAGAAACTGATCATTTTGCTTTGGTCTCTTAATTTTCAGACCTGTATAGCATTTATTATAACAAGCTTAAACCTGTATAAAACGATGTGAGTAATCTAATTAATGTGTGCTTGTTACCACAGAAGGTTATACAATAGTTTATATCAGACCCTAAGCTAGTTATTGGTTAAAGCACATGCTACCAAGGAAGCTGATGATAGGGAAGGGAATGATTATTTTAATATTCAAAAATGATTCACGTATTAGATTATGACTTATGAATATTTTGAATTTAATTTAATATATATATACCGGTACTTTTTTTTAAAGGCTACGTCAATTCAAATAATCGGATAACTGTTTTTTTTGCGGTCGAATATTCAAATATAAATTTGCCTTCAAATTCCCACCCTAGCTGATGGATGCTCAAACTCAGTCCTAAAGTATTGAAACTCTGACTGTCAATCATTACAAAATGTTTGTACATTCACCTATGATGAATTATTATTCATACCCACAGCCCCACTTCTCTGTTAAAGCCCTAACTTGTCTATTCTTGTCCCGACCCGCAGGTCCTGCAGAACCTCGGCAAAGATAAGTTCCCCCCTCAGTCCTTTGAGCAGGTGGGGACACGCATCGCTAAAGTCCTGGAGAAGGTAACGCTCGCTCATCTCAGTTAAAGAGAAACTATTAAATAATGGAGGCTATGACATCATAAACACCAACTGATTGTACCACAGCAAAGGCAAATGACGGATACATATTTTGTTCCTGCTATACTCAGTACCAAGCCGCTGTCACTACAGAAGTTAAACACGTTTTTTTCTGATATAAAAGAGGCAATAGGCATGTTATTTGTTATCTGAGAAAAAGTACCAGTGCCGTTGCGGAAAAAGGATAAGCAAGGATTTGAAGGAAGTGTCATTGCTGTGCATAATTTAGTAGTAACACCCAGCATTAGTAACACCCTACCAGCACACTCAATCAAATGATTACTGTGGATTTAAATTGCTCATTCATCCCTCCTCCTCATCCCTGAGTGCAGAACCAGACATCATGGGTGTTATCCAGCATGGCTGCGCTGTACTGGAGGGTCAAAGGTCAAGGCAAGAGAGCCATCGACTGCCTGCGGCAGGCCCTCCACTACGCCCCCCACCACATGAAGGCAAGTTACACATCAACTGTTGGTGAGGATTACAAAGGATTGTTTAAAATAATTAAGTAATAATGCTATTTTTATTTAACCAGGACGTGCCCCTCATCAGCCTGGCCAACATCTTCCAGAATGCACGGCTATGGGACGACGCTCTGACAGTCGCCCGCATGGCCGTAGAGATCGCCCCACACTTTGTCGTGAACCACTTTACCCTCGCCAACGTCTACATAGCAATGGTAATGGCTGCAAGCACATTTATCTGTCACAATGTCATCATTGTTTGTTACCCTCTGCTCAGCTCCTCAAGTGTATCCACTGCAAGACTATTCAAGATATTAAAGAGGCCCTATTATGCTGTAGTGTGGTATTTAAGTTTTGGTGCATGTAAATGGTCTGCAAAGGTTATAATCCCTCCAGAGGGAGTTTCTCTCCTACACGCTCACCCCCTGAAAGGCCTCCATTTTAGTCCTTTGTTTACTTCCACGACATAGTGACGCTAATATGCAACACTCATGCTTCTATTGGCTAGTGCCCCATCACATTCTACGTGATAGGCTAAGGGGCAGGACATCTCTAAGAGGTTGATCAATCACAACAGAGGCGGCGAGCTAACCAATCAGCAGACTGGGCTCTGGTTTCAGACGGAGGGTGGAAAGAGGTGCTGCAGCACAGGCATATAAAGAGCTTTTTGAACATTAAAGCATGTCACAGTAGATGCCCCTTTAATGAAGCAGCCATGCAGTTCATGTGTTCCCATGGTGACGTGTTTTGTTGTGTTTCTCACCCTCAGGAGGAGTTTGAGAAAGCGATGCGCTGGTATGAGTCCACTCTGAAGCTGCAGCCAGAGTTCGCCCCTGCCAAAGATCGACTGAGAACCATTCAGTGTTACCTGCTCACCAAGAGGGAGCGCCGACAGCCATAGACCGCTTCATCACAGGACCCCCTGCTGTCATGAAAATAACACTCACACACACTCATCGGAAAACCACAGATAAGCTGCACACAAGTGTAAGAAACCGTCATGTGGTTAAAGATGAGGAGTCAATATTCATATCCAGTGGAATCTGGGTTCTAACCCCCCAAAGAATTAGGTTTCGAGACGTCACTGAGTACAACTGTAGATAACTTTGCCCCACTACTTCTGAATGCAGGACCTCTTGTTATCTAACAATCAAGAAGTCATGATTGTCTGCTTTACTTGCAAAAATGAAAGGGAAATAAAATCAAATACGGTTTGCAAATTACATTAAATTCTTAAATATTCTGGTTTCATCCTCTGCTAATTGGCTGGAAAGTTTACATGCTTAAAGATATTCAAGCATGTTGGTATTGGGTGCCTGAAATGGCGCCATGTTTTAATGTACCTTAATTGGACATTTCAAATGAGAAGATGTTTTTCATTCTTCGCTGAGATGGTTAGGAATGTGCCTCTAGACTCCGAGGTTAAAGGGGTTTGCGTTGGAAGATATGCCCTCAATTTTTCTGTTTCATAAAATGGATGGGAATTCTCAGTTTTTCTTTTGCACTTTTATTTCATTATCATTCCTATTTATATGGGACCTACAAACTTTGATTTGTTCCAAGGTCATTTAAAAACAAAAGAGAGGAACTGCAACATGCTATGCTTTGCTTCCTGACTTCTGGCACTCATAAGGCAGAACAAAGGATTTGCTATAGACCATCTACAATAAAAAAAAAACTAAAGTGGAATCTGTATTTAATGTACAGTATTAAAGGCAGTGTGTGGATTTCATTACTTCACTTCTCGGCGTCAATTTATTTTGTCTCTGGGAAATAAAGTGTTTTGACTCCTCAAAGGTTAAATTAGATTGTAGAAGTTATAGAATTTGACAAATAACACTTTACAGCCACACTCAAATCCTCAATGTGAACACTTGTCATAAACATGACTTTTTCTTTTTCAATTCACACTTTTTAAAGCGGCCAAATAATGGCACTGTCTGACCTTTCATCCCTCCTATCAACTGCTACTGTCTCTCCCTTTCTGTATGATAGCCAGAGGTGGGAAGTAACTAAGTACATTTACTCAAGTATTGTACTTAAGTGCAATTTTTGAGGTTCTTTAACTCCAGTATTCTAATGTTATGCTACTTTGTAATTATACCCCACTACAATTCAGAGGTAAATCGTGTACTTTTACTCCACTAAATGTATTATTTACCCTTAGTTACTTTGTATATTTTGATGAATGATGTGAAATATAATCAACCCTTAAATCAGACTTTAGTTCCACCTGGAGTAAAATCACATGCTACCCTGCAGTATACAACATCATTAAAACTAGCTGCAACAGCTTTGATAACACTTTAATGACCAATAATCTTAAGCAAAACATAATATATATTATTCTGAAATGCACCAATCTGCATAATGTGTACTTTTACTTTTGGTGCTTTAAGTATATTTTAATGCTAATACTTTTCTACTTTTAATTCAATCAATCAATGTTTATTTATATAGCCCAATATCACAAATGTTACATTTGTCTCAGTGGACTTCACAGTTTGTACAGAATATCAGTATGACAATACGACACCCTCTGTCCTTAGACCCTCACATCGTACAAGGAAAAACTTCCAGAGAAAACCCACAGTTGTGTGTAGCTGTGGTCTTTAGCAAACAAATACAACTAAACCTTTCTAAGCTGCAGCCAATACTAATTGAGTCTTGTACTAAGCAACAGAAAGTTCCTCTTCACATACAGAAGCCTTCACCTTGAAACAATCAGTGTGTTTTTTGGAAACTACGAGAAGAGATTTCTCGTAGCTTTGGATAAAAGCGTCCAACAAGTAACATGTAATGTAAAAGAGATATCCATAATTCCCAAAAGTACACACATAATTCGATCTGTTGTGTTTGATAACTATGTACAAGTTGTGGTAGGTAGTGGGGTTTACCTGGATGCAGGTCGGTGAAGCTGTGCAGAGCCAGACACTGGACGTTGAGACACACCTTGAGCTGAAGAGTGACCGTCTGGATCAGAGTCTCAGTGAGCAGCAAGCAGTCCTCCTGTCCTGCCACAGTACTGCCGTGGAACAGCACACACATAGGGATGCATTAGAGAACAGGACATCGACACAACGTACCGATACTGAAACAGGACAGTAAGAATACAGCAATCCTCTGACCTCTGACCTCCTTTAAAGAGAGGGTAGTGACACAGGCCACAGTGAGTAGCTTCTGATTCGTAGAACTGAGGCCACCCGGACTCCACCAGCGTCTCCGTCTCCGCGCTGCCCTCGTGGCTCCTGGGACACGTCGTTTGAACCAAGATCGAGGGGTTGAAGACTGTTGGCTCCTGATGAGTTCAAGCAGTTTCCTGGAAGCTCAGTCTCGGGCCTTTTTCTAGGAATCGACAGGGATCGGGTGCAGGTTAACTGCAGCGGTGCTTTGGGCGCTGGACGCTCCGTGCTGAGCAGGCGAGGCCTCGGTACGGATCGAGGCAGGCTCTCAGACTGAGGGAGTGGGAGAACAAAGTCACATTACGGATGAAATACCAAGAGTAATTGATATGAAAAATCTGCTTAAACAACAATGAGAAAGAGAGAGACATAACGACGTGTTGAAGGGTTCTGGATTCAGCTGGAGAAGTTGTGAGAAGTTTGTCTGAAGGAAGTAAGCTTTCACGCTTTGCTCCCTTGGCAGTTCTTCTGGTCAGTCACAGCCACACTTTGGGCACACCTGGTGGTCGGTTCTGGGTATTACATATAGTCCCACAGATGGTTCTTACACCGACCGCCTCCGGCGGGTGACGTAGAGAGTCCCAAATCCTAAAAGGAAGTTTAAAAAAGCGAGGCGAAGAGGTGTAGCGCGTACAAATCAAGGAAAATATGAAACAAATTTGATTGTAAGTGACAAAGAAAGGCATAGAAAAAGAGGACAAAAAAGAGGAAAAAAGACTGAGCCAAGTTAGACACTAAGTGTTTGAGGAAGGCAGGAAAGACAGAAGTTCATTCTTCCGATCAGACCAATGAACACATAGCCTAGCTTCCATGCTGCTGGGGACAGAAGAGATCCGTAGGGTAGAAGAGAGGGCATAAAAGAAAGTGGGATAATTGACCGTAATCTGCATATTTTTCGTTGCATTTGTGTTGATGTTCTCAGTTGTGTGGTGGTGTTGTTGTGTGTGTGGGTGGTGT